AACACCACTCACCATACAAACTAGTCGGCTTCGTTAAGAAGCTGGGTTTATTTGGACGAGTGTGAATAGGTGTGAGCTACAATAAACCCTTGCGGGTTGCGATGGAAGGTCAAATAGACCCACTCACTCTAGACCTAACCTAACCTAACTATGTGGCAAGAACTTCGTTGCATCACGTCACGGTTATAGAAGAAAACACTGAGCAAAACCTTAACATTTGATCGAACTGGGCGTGTTTTTTTGTCTTGGCTCTCCTGAGCTCTTTCATTGGGACAATTGGACTTTGGTTTCGATGTCATAACCATATACCCATTATTCGTCACCAGATATGATCCCTTTAGGCAAATTTTGATCGCTGTTGATGTCATTCAACAATTCCTGACCGATGCTCATATGCCGACATCCTCGGCATATTCTCTAATAATGATTCGACGATTCTCCATAACAATTTTCTTCACTTTCTCAACATTTCCATTGATTGTTGATATGCTGTGGCGTCCAGGCAAACGTCGTCATTCACATCTTCCCGACCTTCTGTAAAAAGTATGAAACACTTGAAATATGTTTCTGACTAAGAGTTCAATCACCGTATGTCACTGACAATATTTCTCAAGTGTTATTGAGCACTAAATTCAATTTTTTACACAAAAATTCTGCAAATTATCTGATCCATTTTTTCGATAGCAAAAAATCGCTGAACAGCCAAAATACTTCTAACTTTTATGCCTCTCACCAACAACTATGAACGTATGTTCGAAATCGCTGATCGAGTACGTAGTCCGGGAAATTTGAACATTCACCTTATTTTTAACAGACCTCTCATAAACCTACCCAATTGAGATGAGATGTTTGTCGAATTAAGAAAAAGCCAATCAATACGAAGCAATTTATCTGTGTCACTAGTAATTTGGAACCACTCGGTGATAAACAATAAATACAATATTTTTGGAATTTGTATTACCCAAAATTAATAAAGATTCAACCAGTATCGTATTCATTAAAATATGTCTGTTATCATAACTGAAGGATAAAATAGATTTTTTAATATTTTTCATTACAATATGCGATATGAGCCAGGTTGTACTCATCAGAAAGTGACATTTTTCAACACTGACATCCTGTCAAATAATTTTTCAATAATACATCGATCTAAAAAGACTCCAAAATTTTGAACAATTTGATCGAAGGACTTGTACAAAGAATATACTCAAAAACGATTCAACGTATGAAAAAATGTTTGAAACAAAAGTTGTAGAGAATTTAATTCTCTACAATATTGATAACAAATACAATTGGCATAAAACCTATTGGAAACAAGATATTTGCAAAAAACGTGCAAAAAGTCGGTTTTTTTATTTTTGACCCTAATTTTTGAAGTTGCGGCCGTCGAATCATATGTGAAATTTGAGAATACTTTTATGATGCCAAAATATAAAGTTTATACAATTTTACAGCTGAGTATGTCCACTTTCCTAAGCAAACCCCCTAAAATGACTGGACTATAAGTTTTACTAAAACGCAACACGGGTTTCGCTGTACAGCTTTTTCAAGCGTATCTTTACTGACGCCCGAAGAAGCTATACATTAACGTGTTGCATGTCTAGGGTAATAATTTTATAAAACCGTACAGGTGATTAACACCTTCGTTCGTTCACCTGGTTCAACAAAAATTGCGAGCAAGCTGTCGCCTCCAAAAATCTCGCCTACCGGCTGTGGCGCAACAATCCAAGTGCCGAACACCGAACTAGATTTGTTAATGCTCGCAACAGCTGCAAACTTAGGATAAATAAAGAGAAAAACTTTACAATCAGAGAATTACGAATATACTGCTTGCCAGTCCCAACCGGTCTAGATCCTTCTGGTCGGTAGCTAAAGCTATTAATCAAAACTTTACAAAATCCACAACTCCACCACTAACACAAGCGGTGTTCGTCATCGTACTTAAAGAGTGCGCAAATGAACTCGCATCAGTATTTTGCAGACTTTTCAAACTCTCTTACAAGAAAGGGTTTTTTTTTGTTGTAAGATTGCTCCCGTTAAGCGTATTCCCAAAAAAGACAAAAAAAATCTTCCAAATAACTATAGACCAGTCGCTTTTCTATCAGTGATATCAAAAATAATGGAAAAAGACGTAAACCATCTTATCCTCAAATATTTGAAAGGCCTCAACATCAATATAGTTTTCGGAAACAAAGACAACAGGCAACCATCTATCCTATGTCATCCATATTTGGAATAACGCAATCGAGAAACATGGATAATCAAGAGCTGTTGCGCTTAATATTTCTAAGGCCATTGACCGTGTGTGGCATGAGGATTTGCTGGCCAAACTTCGATGCTATGGATTGTCGGGTCATTTTTGGGTATAGCTCTTCAGCTTCCTGAAAGAACGTTCCCTGCAAGTAGCCGTCGATGGATACCTCTCGAATACTTTCACCGTCAACGTTGGTGTTTCCCAGGAATCCATATTGCCTTCAACTCTCTCTTTATTGTAAATCAAGGACTTATTGAAAAAAAAACAATAATCCAATATAATGCTTTGCTGACGACAGCACACTTGCCTCGTCATTCCATTTGGATGTCCAGGACAACTTCACCGGCAGCAGGAGGTTGCATATCTTAATGAGGATCTAGAAGTGATTTTGAATTAGGGTGAAAGTAACCAGGTTCAATTCATTGCCAAGAAGATAAATGTCTCCGAACCGGATACTAATAATATCACGTCAGACAATTCCACTTTTTGCTTTGCTAAGTTTGTTGGGAGTTAAAATGGACACCAATATGTCTTGGCACAATCATATCGCTGGAAGGCTGCTTCTCAGAAGCTTGGAACACTGTTCCGAACCAGAAAATTGTACACACCTCAGCAACTTTTGATGCTTTATAAAGCTCAGATTAGTTCTTCTTTGGAGTATTATTCTCATCCATCCGCCCGATTGGAGACGTGCAACCATCTTGATAGCCTGGAACATTGAATACAGGTTGAAGATGTGTTTCTCTTCTATAGGTACTTTCACGGGAAGTGTTCAAGTGATTTGGCACATTTGATTCCACAAAGAGCGACGTACTGTGGCTGCTCATCGTTTTGAGGTTCAACTCAGGACACCTCGTACTTCACTGTTTAAAAATTCTTTCATCCGGAGAACTGCGTTTATGTGGAATAAACTTTCTAAGAACGTTTTTTCAAATGGATTTAATCTCCAGCGATACAAATCCAATGTGAATCGCTACTTTAGCAGAAACACCGCTCTCAGAGCGCTTTAAGGATTTTCCTGAGGTGCTTATGTTTTGTTCCTAAAAAAAGGTCAATTTTCCGAAATGAAAATCTTCCTGTTCCTTTTTTGTCTGCATTCGGTTAGGAAAGATTCCAGTCATAATTAGTATGAAAGTTGAACCAAATATCAACTTACTTGGATTATTGTATTCATTTCCCGAATATTTTTACGGAAATCAGTTTCTAATTCAGATCTAAAAATTATACATTTCTGAAAAGTATTATGTGATCCCCAAAAAACTACATGAGCTTTTTTTCTTATAAAAAGTCCAAGTTTGAAGAAATATTTTCGTGCTATCAGGTACACATTATTTCGGGGTTTGGGTCCAAATATTCAGGAAAAAAATGCAGTTACCTCGGTATTTCAACATTATTTTTTTTTAAATAAAACAAAATTTTCTATACTGACTGTAAACTTGTAAATTGTTTTGGTAAAATTTTGGATAGGCTTCAATTTTGAAAAAAGTTAGTGTACTTACGTATTTTAACGTGTACATTATAGTTACAGTGTAAATTACGAGTTATAGCCCTCCAAAATTCAAAAATGGCAACTTCTCATCCTTTTTTTGCACAATACAAACTATAGAAAAACGCAAGTATTTATTTAACATAGCACCTTCATCTTCTTTGACAGTTTTCAGTTTAACAACCAACATTTTTCTTTTTAAAGTTTTAATACATCACGGAGCTCCTTTTTAGTGATGAATCATTTTATTTTACGTTTCTGATATTAAGATCATAGTTGCATTATTGACTACTATCAAGATTTCAAATTAAAATCAGGTTCCACTCACATGGAACACTATCATTCTCAATGATGTACTTCGAAGTTTCGGAACATGACAATGGTTTTACCACCTCATCAGCACCCTTTTAGATAACATTATGAGACGGGGCACTCATTTATTTCATAACATTACGATTTTGTCATAGACACAAATCTACTCTTGTCATTGTTGAGATCTTCATATTTATGTTTTTATGCTATATCAATGAAAAATGGATTTGAGAAATAAATTGACATTGCTGAAAAATAAACTGAGTTAGTAAACATTACAGAATAATGTTGTCATTAATTTTGTGAATGATGCTTTATGAACAGTTCAGGATGTTGTTAGACCTCAAAGAGAATTACCAAACTAAATTATTGAAATCTGGTCATCAAATATTTTCGAATATATTGAAAGAGTAAAAATATGCCCGTTTTTTTCAAACGGAAACGGACATCCGAACTATTTAGTTAGTATCAAAGCAATGCAACTTATGTCTAACTACTATAAAAAAAATAAAAAACCTATACAATCATTGATTAGATGAGAAAAATTCTCTCTCTATTTGTCTAATATGGATTTTTTTTGAATACATGTCTAGGATTTTTATAAATCGCTCGAATCAACTAGAACTTTCAAATAACCGTTTTATGACTTGGGCCCTCATTTTGTGCTATCGACAAATTATGAACGGACTATAGGTTTTTATAAATCGCTCGAATCAACTAGAACTTTCAAATCATACGAATTTTTAATAGTAGTCGGTGGCAGTTACCAGCTCTCATCTCCATTTGAAAAAATTCACTTTCTCACACATTAGGGAATTTTCACGTCACTAAATTTAACACAGCACCACTTGAAGTAAGTGTTTACAATCTTCAATAAATCCGAATATACAACGATTATCCTCTTTTGAAAAGGTTTATATTGTGCTATAAAAATGTTGTATAGTTGGTTTCAGTAACATCGGTTGTTAGAAATGTTTTCAAGTGGTCACTGTTTTCACCAGTAGATATTCAATTTTTAACACCGTTAATGCTTATGTAATATTACCGTCTGAAGTTGGGGACACGGCCTCTTCTGTTTTTTTCTGGTGTTTTTTATGGCCTCCTTTTTTGTCTTTACCTTTCTTTTTTGGCCCAGATGAAATTTCTTCTACTTTCGGTTCCTCTATTGGAGGTGCCTTCTTAACTGAAAAATGAATGTGATAAAATGTTAAATGAATATGTACACTTATTAATATAGATTTATTTTGAATTCATCGTATTAGAAAACGTGTTCATTCTCAGTCATGTTAAATATTTAGAACGAGATCATTTTACAAAATGAAAAACGCAGAGCGTAAATTGAGATCATAGTCTCTGAACTCAATACAAAAATAACCAATAATCAATAATGAACAATAAATTGATTGGATTCAATAATCAGTTACAAATTACTAATGTAGGTATACAAACCTTTTTCAGCGACCATAATTTCCTCCTCAACAAGTTTTTCGTGTGAAGTTTTATAGACATAAAAAAATACTTTATTTTCTTCCGGTGTCAAATAATCATCTTCCAAATAAGAAGATAGTTTGTCATCCAAATCATCGGAATTCTCTATCATCTCTTCGAAATATTTATTCGAATTCAGTCCGAAAAATTTGGTGAACTTTTTTTTCACCCATTCTCTTCGAAAGTCTATCGCCATTATTATTTAATATACGAATCTTTCTTTACGCAGATTTGAAAATGTCTCGTATTGTGTCATAAAAGACAATTCGAGAAGTTTGCGTCAGGCTACCTAGGATACGAAATAAGTTCTCCATGTGTTTCAATGAAAGGGAATGAATAAGTAACCTGGCAACAAAACCAACAAACTGATTATTTGCCGGGATATCGAAGCTACCTGAAGAACAAATTGAAACAATACAGTATGTCAATGAACTGAGTTATTGAATTGATATTTTCTTATACAAAGTGTTTCAAAATTGAAACATCTTTCATGGCGATCAATTCAATGAAATATGAAAAAAACTGAATATTTTAAAGATATACAGTACATTTCTTTAATGTCCTCCCCTTTTATTTTTTGAACGGGTCATCTCAAAAAATTGAATTTTGGGATAATGAAGTTAATGCATGAATACTTTATTTTGAAGTGAAATTGACAGATGAAACTTTCAAGATGGCGACTGGGCGCCATCTGAGAAAAAAAACAGATGAAGCCATTGTATGGCGAAACACGTGTTGCGTTTTTGTAAAACAATTTAGTGAAAATCTCACAATAAAGTGTTTTTGGAATACGTTTCTTTCTGAAGCTTCTGACAAATGCTTCACAATCCTAGAATATAATGTCAATATCTTCAACTACTACAAAATGGTGGAACCTTTAATAATTATGGCTGTCTGTCTGTTTTTCCGTTAATCAGCTGTTTCCCCCATACGAACAACAACTCTCAGAAGTTGAGAAACTTGTGCGAGCTAAGTACTAACGAGGTCTTACCTTTTAACGTGTGATTCCTAACACGGTTGCAGAATCATCCCAGCTTCAACCAGATAAATTCTCCCGAGTAATTTTAATTTTCGAACACAGTAACGTCAATATCTCTAAAAAAAATGTATTAATCTCTGTCGTATATCCAATATTGAAGCAGGTTCAGTTTCGTACACCTTTTGCTTCAAATAGCCCTATAAAAAGTCCAAAGGTGTCAAATCTGACGAGCGGGCTGGCCATTCAGTAGGATCTCGACGACCAATCCAACGACCGGGAGAAGTAGTATCCAAATAGTTTTTTACTTGTCTGGAGTAATGTGGTGGTGCTCCATCTTATTGGAAAACAATATCCATAGCGAATTCATTAGGATACGCATTTTATTCTGGATATTGGGTATGTGTTTCCCGAAAAGCGTGAGGGTTGGTGTCACTCCAATAACGGCAATTTTGTCTCTGAACATTGCCGTTTGAAAAAATGTACATTCGTCAGTAAAACAAATATTGTAGAAATATATAAAGTTATAGTAAAAGGCGAAGTTCAATTTTCGCAGCTACGCAAATAACTGTTAAATTGTTCTTCCACTTAACCTAAAAAACAGACATGACAGACATTTGTAATTAAAATTTCCTCTTTACATAATTCTATCAGTTCACTTCGAATTTTTGCGCTGATGTACGTTGCTTCTGAAGATGAGTTTTTTAAATGTTCTTTCAGTACGGTATCTCCATTTTCGACGCGAAAACATAAGAGTTCTCTAAAATTCCCTTCATTCGCAGTGGGTGAAGATTATACATCTATATCAATATCTTCAGTTCAGCAACTTTTTATCTCAATAGCTCCACTGTCTGTATGTCCTCCTAATGAAATATTTTGCCGACCCAAAAAGATAATGCTCTCAATAATAGAAGGGAGGCGTTTCTTATTTTAGATAATTTGCTCCTAGAAGCTAGAAAACTGGAAGACAGGTATAAAAACCCCATAGTTGTGTTTCCATCACCATTTTTTTATTTTGAAAATAAGAAATGTTCGAATTTCTTCTCTATGTATTCATGGTTATGGGCGGTGGGTAATTACCCCATTACTCCCCACCCTCAGGCACGCGCCTGGTTCATAGTGTTCTCACAGAAGAGACTAATATCTGGCAAATCAACATAGCCATGTACAGAACCGTGCAATAGCTTTCTGAATCGGAATTGGGCTTACGATTCGGAAGAGTACAGAATATGGAGGTTAAGATCACTTTGACAAGACAACACGCGTCTCGCATACAATGTGTGAAGGACTACAGGGCTGCCAACAGATATTTCACGCTCGCAGTGCAGCGAAAAGCCGCTAAATTACGACTTACTGTGACGGGTTGTGACCACCGAACACTACTGTCTTGATGAGATGCGAATGCTAGTGTGGCTGCTAAGAAGTAACTAGGGATTCGAGCGGGAAGTTTCGCGGAAAACCCCAGGTTTCGCGAGAAACTTTCTCGCTTATTTCAAGAGCCTCTGTGTATTGTGGATAATCTGCAGGTGGAATCCTTCTGGATAAACATCTCAATTTAGACATTCCCGTCCTAGCGAATTCGAAGCTTTCAGCAGAACAACCCGATAACCCCGGATGACGTTCAAAGAGCCCTCGCATGTTCCAAGAACTTTGCTGCTCCAGGTCCAGATGGGCTGAACACTTATTGGTAGGGAAAACTACTAAGCACCCACCGCCATCTGGCCAGAGCAGCGAAGAGCGGCCAATTCCGAATTGGTTTGCCGAGGGGCAGACCGTCCTTCTCCCCAAAAGCAGAGATTTGTCGATTTCTAAGAATTACAGAACGATAACATGCTTCAATTCGTGTTATAAGTTGTTTGCGAACATCTTATACACACGAATACCCATACCAGTTGACCGAGTATTCGAAGGCATGTATGAGCGCAGAAGGTCGAAGAGAGAAGTAGCTAAAATTAGCATCGATAGATGTATAACGCAGGACTCGACACAGTATGAGTGTAACCTCTCTATGGCCTGAATCGATTACTCCAGGGCACTTGATTCAACATCGCATGAGCTCATCTTTCATTTGCTCAAATGCCTTGATGTACCCGACGAAATAGTGAAATTCTGCGAACAACTGATACCACTCTGGCAAACTCGCTTCTCCATAACATCTCGCCAGGCTAGAATCCAAATCAGGTAGGTCATTTCCAGAAGGCGATTTCCTTAGTCCCCTTCTCTTCTACTTCTTCGTTACGCTCATAAATACTCGAGCGTATAACGTTTTTTATATGGATGATCTTAGACTCCATATCTTTGGAGAAAGGGCTCTCCATCAGTCTTTGAATGTAGTGGAAGTGTAAACGCATACTAGCGGTATGAAATTCGGGATAGACAAACGACCAACGGCCAACTGAAAAGATGACGATGCAGGGTCTACGGTGAGGATGCCGGAAAGATGGGGAGGAACCAAGTAGCTGTTACGAATATGTTTGCCGTAACAATACTACTCTACTTGTTTGAAGTAGTGAAATTGACCAAACTTTATCTTGATGATGTCTTGATGATGAAATAACTTGTGTCCGTCAGGCCTAATAATAATACTCTACAATCACCTTTCGAGATTCAATAATTTTTCTACACAAAATTTTTTATTTATAAAAGATAGATATAAAGTGTGGCGGACTTTTTTTAGGTCTCCTGAAAACCAATATCTTTGCTCATATGTATAATTAACCATTACGCCAGGACATGCAAACAAATCACTTCAATATCATTTCATTCCAACTTACCTGTAAATACCAATACTTAAGGCTAATAAAAATTGTAACGTATTGTTAGATTGCTTATACCCTTCTTCGTCATACACAAAAATAATTCTTCAAACCTTCAAACAAGCAAAAAACCCTTCGGCTTTATTACATTACTAGAAGAAAAATAACTTTATTTCCAGATAGGCAAGCCTAATATAAACATAATTATTGTACTTTATCTAAATATAATACATAACAATCTAAATAAATTAGTCTATTATAACCAAATAACAGAAAATCATTGAAATCATTGTTTCAGGAAGAGGATGATGACTATGAACCTGANATATAATATATATTTATTTGAAGAAAGATGTTATCTAATCAATATATCAGATGTTTGTTTTTTACTGGTTTTTCATAAACATATTGCTTCATAATAATTGGTAGTTCGTTATTAATAATAACCCAATTATGTAAATTTATTTTTTCATGATTTCTTTAAATTTTATGAATAATGAGATATTTGGATTGTCTAATTTGATAACAAAACAGAATGTTGATAACAGAATTAGTATACATATTCTCAATGTATACAAAGAGCAGATATTGAGAAGTTCACTCTTGAGATATAATTTAAAAGTAGAACACTTATTCAAACTATAGTAATAATAATAACAATGCGTGAAACACATCCGGAGCATGCCGCCTTCTCCGCCCAAAACCTTAGGAACTACGTATCTTATCTTCTGCGACAGGGCTGTAGGTATATCTCTTTCCCAGCCTCCTAACGAAGTGGTGGAAGTGGTAGTTTTACCATCCGTTAGCACGGCTGGAGAGGAGAATCGCATCATGCCACCAATGGACATCATCAGAACGCGCAAGGCGCTCCACAGAATTAGACCTCTGAAGCCACAAGAACTGGCTTGTTTGCATGCTGAGGTTCATAGCAGGCGCGCACCTAGGGTAAATCCATGGGGGGGTAATCACCCATTTCGGTCACAATATTTACTATGAAGGGTTCATATACGTTTTAAGTGTCTTTAGCCTTTAGTTACGAAAACGTATACCGCCAGATGATAGGTGCTAATCAAGTGCTAAACGGTGAGGATCGTAAAATTTTCTAATTAATAAACAAAAGCTTCCAATTTCGCTAAACAATAGATCTAAGAATCAGGTCCCTCGAAAACGAGGACGAACGCTCTATCAGGTATAAACTAAGCGTGGTAATAAAGTGCTAATTAGGTGCTTGCAAGAAATTAAGATGAAAACGACCGCGAATAAGTGAAAAAAAATTCGAGATACCTGATTTGAGAAAATTAACAATATGCAATAAAGTCTTGAGATGCTCGTAAACTAAAACATAGACAATCAAAATAAAGTGCTAATCAATTGCTCAAGTGCTCATTCATTATTTTATTATTATTTTCATTGCGTTGCTATCATCACATACTGCTAGCAACGCAACTTTGAGTACTGAGTTGCGGTGTAAGTTACAGAGCACCTAATTTTTTACTTCGGTACCTAGAAAGCACCTAAAAAGTACCTAATTTTGGCATTTTCTAAATGCGATTACCGTAATTTACGTTGCTGGCGTAACAGAGCTCAATAATTAAACTACATACAAGTCACCCAAGTTTAATGGCGAATATCCAAATTGGTTGGAGCTTCGCGATACATATGAATCGCTCATTCACAGTAATAAAGGTATTTATGGTATAATGACAGTAGACTACTTGTTCACGTTGAATTTTCATTCAATATGGAAATATTAATAAAGGAATCAACAGACCGTTTGAGAAAAATTATTGACTCGGTTTCAAAGAATTTACGGATGTTAGAACAGTTGGACGAGCCCACTGACTAGTAGACACTTTAATTGTTCATTTTATATCCACCGAATTGAACACTTTGTTTCTGAGAGTGGGAAAAGTTCAAGGCAGACAATGGCGTGCCGTCATAGGATGATCTTTGCTGAAATCACGAGCTGAATTAGAAAAAATTCGAAATCACTTGCAACGATATAGTGTTCGGAGATTTACTGTTACAGAAAAAATAACGTGTATGACGCAAAATGTAAATTATGTAAACAACAAAACTGTGCCAAATTCCTCAAATTGTGTCTAAATTGTCTTAGATTTAGCCATAATCATAAAGCTTGTCGAAGAGGAACTTGTAGAAAGTGCGATTCCAGGTAATTGTTAATTTGCTTTGTTCTAAAAAGTCGCTCTTTTAAAAACAGTAACTTCGCTTCGTTTGGATACAGGTAGTGCAGATTTTTAGCAAGGCTAGCAAGGCTCACCAAAACATTACGTCTTCGTCTTGACGCCAGATTTTTTTAGTCGCATTCCACAATCGTACTGGGCTGGTTGCAAATACCAAATAAATGCAAGACATTCGTTAGCAATAGGGTTGCTGGGATTGAGGAGATAACAAGTTTCCATTCCGAATCTCCAGCAGACAATCCAGCAAATATACTTTCTCGGGGCTTAAAAACCTCATAAGATTGAAAGTTCCCAGCTATTGTGGCATGGGCCATCCTGGCTGATAAAAGACTCTTCAAACTCGCCAAATAAATTGGAAAAGCAGAAAGTAAATAATCTTCCAGATCTGAAAACGGAAACACATTCATTCATAGTGAAAAATGTTGAATCATTTCCTATATAAAATTTCTCACTTTTGATATTCAAGCGTAACAGTCAAATGAAATAGGAAAAACGAATCCTTATGACTGAAAATACCAATAATGCTTTTAATCTCCTAATAGGTTGAGTGAGAATCACTTATTCGGCAACGAAATAAAAAATATTGTTGATGAAAAATCTCTGTAGTATGATAGTAAAATATGCAGCCTCAGTGCATCCTTGGATGAAAATGGTATCTTAAAGGTTGATGGCCGTCTGTAAAATTCCTCATTTTGTACTGACAAAAACCTCCCATAATTCTCACTGATGATCATTATTTAAGTGAATTGATCTTCCAAAGAGAGCATATTGCTAGGCCACAACAACTGCTAGCATCTTTGAAAGAAAGATTTCGGCCCTTAGGAGGTAGAAATATTGTAGAAAAAGTAGTGCGACATTACATAATTTGCTTCCGAAATAAACCGAAATCCATACAGGCACAAATGGGACAATGGTCTGAACCTCGCCTTTAACCAGATTACCCACATTATCACAGCTAAAGAAAATTCAGTTACTCAGTTAAGAATCGTTTGTTATTACCTACAATGGTGTATAGATATATAAGGGTTAATATTGTTAATTATTTTAGTTTATTGTAATCGTTTGAAAATGTCCTTATAGGACAAAACTACAGTAACGTTAGTTACAAGTTTATAATATGTCCCATAACTTCAGATAATATAGCCACGCATTCTTTGATTATTCTTGTGATAACTTTAATAGTTTAACGAGGCTTTAATTTTTTGACTGACTCTAAAAACATAGTTGCATCAACATTGTGTTAACAATGTGTTAGTAATCACACGTTAAAAGGTAAGACCTCGTTAGTCCTTAGCTCGCACAAGTTTCTCAACTTCTGAGAGTTGTCGTTCGTATGGGGGCGGCAGCTGAGTAACGGAAAAACAGATTTTTTTAACAGATTTGTCATAGTAGTGCAACTTTATGAATCTTTTCCTGGGAAATGTGTTCTGATTTTCTCGTCAATTATTGTTGAGGAATACTCCCTGAATGTTTCTACGACTTCTTCGCTACTGATTAGTCTTAGTAATACATTTGTTTTCATAATTTTTTGTGGGTTGTTCTATGATAATCCAGAAAGTTTTGGTTTCATTAGTAGAAAGAATACTGAACCATTTTTATGAAATATTTCATTTTCAGCACTCTTGGCTTTTATAAGTGATGTTACTATTTTCACTATTTTTACTTCTATTATTTTTTGTTGCCTCAGGTCAAGTGTTTGACATCATCAATGTATCTCTCTAGCAAAGTGGAAAGGGTGATTTCATTATTTTACTCTTTGGTAAATGGTGTTTTTTTTTTATTTATTGTGGATTCAGCATATGCTGCCTCAAAACACTGATGAAAATATTCCCGAAAAACACTAAAAGCTTCATTGGAATTGGTAAAGGTTGTGGTAGCAAAGTTTTTAAGGAATTCTATGTCTAAATTCAGTTTCTTCATAATTCTTTGTATTTGGATGAATATTTTTCATTTCATTGTTCCAACTAATTATTTGAGAATGGCGATCCGATAAGGCAAAATCAATGTAACTTACAGTTAGGCTGTCTCTGTTGGTTAAAACATAATCAATGCTACTGATTATTTCACGATCACCCCAATGTCCAATTCCTGTTAGTCCATATTCCTTGTTAGACCGTCAATGTTGAATTCCCCTCATATAAATACATTTTTGAATGTTTCAAAAACCTTTGCCAGTAGAAAGGGAAGTTGCATAAGGAACAAGTTTACATTGATATTCGGTGATCTGTAAAGACAGATCAGGACTGTATATTTTTCAAATGAAACGGCAGAATATTCCAATGAAATGGCAAAACATTCAAATTAAATGGCAGAACATTCAAATGATAACTCAATAGATAGTTTACAAATGAATTCCAAAATTCCGAATTAATTGAAAAAACTTACAAAAATAATTGATGGCCACCAGTTTTGAGGTAGAATCTTGGGCGCCTGCTTTTTGTGGTGTCTTCCTGTAGGTCTAGTGCACAATCGACGATAAAAGATATAGATTTAATGTTTTTTTCTCCAAGTCATCAAAGAATAAAGAAGTGTGTAAAAAAACAAAGGAATAAAATAAATGATTTTAATGCTTTTTGAACAGTTGTTCCCTTCCTTTATAAATATAAATATATTATGATCTACATGTAAGTAAATAAAAAAGTTAATAAACACATATGAAAAATTCCACTGTGTGCATATTTATCTCTAGCCAGTACCAATAATCAAAGCCCTGCCGCTTACCTTATTGTTGCACATCCACATGATTTGTATGTAAAATTTTATAAAAAATTGTTAAATGACATTTTATTCCAAAATACTCATTTACACACAAGATGAAATATGTACTTCTAATGCAATATTTGAAATCATTCAAAATTTCACATCCCCCACATCCAAAAAACAAAATAAAATTTCAATTAGCTAACTTCATTGAAAATAAGTTGTAGCAAAAATTTGAGAATGTTCAATTCTCTAAAACAAGCAATTTCTGGAAAATGGCATATACGATCTCAAGTACCCTGTTTCTTAGCCAGTCTGAGTACATGTAAAATAACCTCATCTACTGTCTGATTATTCAATAGTTCTTTTACGGCCTCATCGTCGATAACAACCGTGAACAACAACTTGGCGTTTTCCCTAATTCGGCCTAGGTAGTCGAAATCATCCTCAGACGCTGGTTTATATCCACACCTGAAATAGAATCTTGTATTAAACACATTTAAAATGGAAGATATAAATGGATAAAACTCTGTTTAGGAACAGGTTGCTTACTTTCTTCAGATAGCAACTGCAAACAACAAATACAATCAAAGATTCAGGAATCCCTTTTGTCCCAAAAATGTTATTCAAACCCCATATTGCAAATGTTACTTCTAGAACACCAAAAATGTTACGTTTCACTCATAGATCTATAGAGAAATTATCTCTCTCTCTCTTCCTTAAAAATCATATACTGCTCAATTGTTTGATCAATAATCGAATACAACTCCACAATTTGGTGCCCTTCATATAATGTGATGTCAATTTGCTTGAAAGTGTTCAAAACAAGTATTTAAGGTACTCTGCATATAAACTGGGATATCATATTGGTGAATGTAACTATAAAACTATATTGGCCATTCTTGACTTGAATAATCTGGCTCATAGAAGATTATGATCAGATCTTACACTAATTCACAAAATAATCAATGGTAGCATTAATTCCACAGAACTTGTTGAACTTATCACTTTAAATGGGAATTCAAAGAGAACACAAAATACAGACATCTTTAAAGTACCCATTCATCATACCAACTATAACCAGAAGAGTCTATAGGTGAAATTTTGAGACTTGCAAACACTTGCAATGTGAATTTAGAACCTTTGCTTTGGAATCACTTACGTGAAAATATTGAATTTTTTGAGTTGACCCGTTAAAAAAATAAAAAAGGGGGGCATTAAAGAAATGCACTGTATGTGTGAATTTGTTAATTATTTTGTAATAATAAGCACTGCCGTAAATAAATAAATATATGAATAAAATAATTCTATCATCAAGTATCTAGGTGGTTTCATCTTGATGTGCTTGAATTTATTGATCAAGGTGTTTATAAATTCTAAAAAGTATAATTAGAGAAATATGTGTTTGATGATTTTTCATACGAAACAAAAAAAATTGATTAATATAAAGATTACCTCCTGATAACACAATCCAACACTCTATCTACAGGTGACTCAGGATACCCAAATTCCATCAAACACTCCTCATCAACAAGCAACGTCAGCAGTTCTTTGATAGACTCGGTCAATGTAAGTTCATTCCAGATTATGCTCTCGGTGACATTACTCAATGATGCAGCATCTGTAGCGGCAGCAAGAAGTTGCTGCTGCAGTCTCTTCTTCTCGGCATTAGCCAATATGTCTTCGAGGACGTCCCTGTGCCTGGCGCGGATATGTCTCATGAGGCAATCCTTGCGAATGAAGGCTCTGCCACAAGTTTCACAAACGCAGGGTGGTTCTTTTTTGTGAGTCAGCTGGTGGATTTTCAGGGATGACTTAACAGAGAATCTTTTCTGGCATACATCACAGGCGAACGCTGGAAAATGATGAAACGAAATGAAAAATTAAAATTCCAATCATTATTATTTGTATATGACAGTTGTAGGAATTTCCAAACTAGCTTTATCACACTGTCTAACTAAAATCACCTTGGAAAAGATGAAATCACTTTGATCGTGGAAAATGTAAAATAAACGCAATTGTATATGAAATTCAGGACTCACGTTTATCACCAGTGTGACACAATATGTGCCTAGCTACGTCTTCCTTCCTGAAGAATGTTTTGTCACAATGTGGACAGGGCAAAGGATCTGCGCCCTCGTGCATGAATTTAATGTGTGTGGTAAGCCGAAGCCGGCGATTAAAGGCCCGCCCACAGTATTGGCACGTGTAGGCATTTTCGCCCGTATGGTGAAAGATATGCGCACGCAACTGAGATGGCTGGATGAAAGATTTGCCGCAAAACTGGCACTGGTGTGGTTTCTCTCCGGTATGAGTACGCCAATGACGATTCAAAGTTTCCTTGGCGGCGAATTTTTTGTCACACTGTAGGAAAAAACAAAATTATGAATCAGTTTGTTAATCAGATAATAAGAAGTCAGGGGGAGGAATCTGTGGATTTGATTCCATAATAGAAAACATAAATTTCTTTCTAGCTACTCCATCAAAGTCTTGGGGTCCTATTCTTCAATCACTAATTGTTCTGCGTATACATAATTCTGAAAATTATTCGTAAGCGAAGGATTCCTTCAATATATTATATTCTTGGGTTTATGCTACAAACAGCGCATGCATTGCAAACACCGAGTGATTCAAGAATAGCCGCCCTATTGGCAGTACATATCTACATATACTCCGGCAATTACTTTAAACAGTGTTGCTTCTGCTCTAGTTTCAACCTCAGACATTTGAAAAACCCATCACAATCAGCAGGTAGTTGTTATCAGATATGCCCCCACAATGTAGTCGTTGATACTATTCTAGGACAGTGGGAGTCACATCTCACGGTGAAGGAGCGATAACGAGCGATGTCACGAAAAATGAGCGATAACAAGTCTTGATAATGCCATCTGAGATGATGGCGAAACGTCGACCTTTGAAGAATGTACAATAGATGAACACACGGAAAAGCTACTTCACAGTTTGGAAGAACAGTTTAGCAGTTATTTGCATAGCTGCAAAAATTGAACTTCGCCTTTTGCTACAACTTTATATATGTAATTAAAACTCAATACTGTAAAAAAAAGGTGGTGGTAGTAATAAAGACGTTTATTATTATTACACACAAATGAAATGCTCTTTCTCTTCTTTGTGACGTTAGAAATTGAAATATATAACCTAAATCACGCCCACGTGTATGTATTATAGTATAACTGTTTCATTGAAAAGTAAAGGAAGAAAAAGGAAACAAACGATTATATTGGAAAGTAGATATCACGTCACAAAATGTTAGGTTATGGGTGCAAATTCCAGTGTACAACATGCAAGGCAAAATCAAGTTATAAAAACCTTTTTTCTGTTCGAAATGGTTCAGAATGAGAATTATACTATTGAATTAATTGAAGGAAAAAAGTTACAGCGTGTGGAAATTTAGAATGCAGATAAACTTAGCGAAAAATAGTTGTTTCAAAAACATGCAACAAGAAAAAGATGTCAATACTTTTGATGAAAGGAATCAGACTGCTAATATGAAATTAGAAAATAGAGTGTTGTTTGTCCGCGATGGACTCCTAAACTACTTAACCAATTTTAATCAAATTTGCACACCGTGTGCAGTTTGATGCAACTTGAAAGATGGGATAGCTTACATCTTAATTTATAGTCGCAATATTATTTTATTACAAATTATGCAACGGTACGCGTTTAGTCATCAAAAAGATCACCGTAAATATTCATGAAGCAACCATTTTAACTGGGAAGTTTGAAGGAAAAGTGATCCTGTTGCCACATATTCCAATGATACCGTCAGATTCTACCATACCCTTCAGAAGGCTACAGTTTCCAATTCGTTTAGATTTTGCCATGTCTATAAATAAGTCTCAAGGCTAAACAATGTCCATTTGTGGTTTAGATTTGGAAAAATCCATATTTTTCTCATTGGCAAATATATGTTGTATGTTCACGTGTAGGGGAACCGTCGAATCTATTTGTCTTAGCTAAAGGCAGATTAACCAAAAATATTGTGAACCGATTAGTGCTAAAATAAATTGAAATTAAAAGTATTTATAATTCAAATAATAAATATTATTGTTAAATATTTAACACTATCTGCCCTACCTACCTCATTCATAAGTTTAAGTGTCACATGTTATTCACTAACAACTTTGTAATATACTCATTTGTTACAAAATTGAATAAAAATAAATTTTAAAATTAATTCTCTTGTATTGATTTCTGCTTAATATCAACTGTTCGAAAATTTTAATCAATCGAGTTCAAAGTCCTTCCCCTTGAAATACCAATCCAGTGGATTTTTATACCAGCTTTATCGTTTCCGTCTTCGTTCGTAAATAATAATTTCATTATGCTAAGGGGTTACGGTAGTAGAAAATCTGTCATGGAGGTTGCCAAATTTTTTTACAAATAGCATCTATGTAAAAGAGCATGGTGGTCCCCGTGACTGATGTTCTCCTACCGTTCCTCTTAAATACTTTACTACAATATAATATAACAAAAACCTCAGCCGCAGCAACGCGTGGCCGGGTCTGCCAGTTATATATATAACGCATATTTCAAATATCATTCTTATAGAGCCATGTTGAAAGTTATATGAATTTGTACAATTATTATATAGTGAGATCTTACTGCAGCTAGAGCAGCGTTGATTAATTCATTTGTTACACTATATACATAATTTTTATTAAAAACTATAACTGCTATCACATCTATATCATTTTTGAAGACTTGTCTGAAGTAACCATTGAATAATTTTCTAGCAAAATCAAGTGGCACCCCATCCAAAAAAAGTTATTCCATAAAATTTAAAACCTACGACCACAGCCCCAAATTTTGAATACCTTTAGCAACTTATTACCGTTTTTGAAATGCCCTTCTTCTGAAATCCTTTCCAAGAAGTCGATGTTTTTTTTTTACGCTGATAAAGAAAAGCTTTACCTTGAAAATGTTTTTACTATCAATTTACTTTTCATTTTTCAGTTATTGTTAAAAATGTTTCTTAGTCTGTTCAATTCCCTCATCCTTGCTGAATTATAACTCTTTAAAACTGAATGAATGAATGAATATGTTTATTTTTTAAGAAATCCTAATATACATACAATAATAATAATAAATCAGTAAACAATAATAATATGTCCTTAAACAACAATAATAATAACTAATAACTAGAGTCATACATATGACTGTAACCTAACAATGTTGAGAAATAAAATAGAAAAGGAAATAAAATTCAAAGTTAACTAACTTAGATAAGACTATACTAACAATTTAAAACATACTGATACATGATAATAAATGTTAAGGTTTAAGACTACTGATGTTCTGCATCATTGAGTCTTTTCCTACAAAATTGTGTTTGTTTTAATATAGTTGTTTAGTTTAGNTTTTCAGCAAACTCTTTTATTTGATAACCTCATCATGGGGATACATACATAAAGCTCTAGTCCGCTCTCTTGGGCGGACCGCCATATCAGCGGTATTTTTTTCAGCAAACTGTTTTCTTATACCCATATCGTGTGTTTGCTTTGAAAAAACTAGTCCGCCATCTTACGCTGTCCGTCATTTTGTATGTAGAATGCTTCATTTGGCTAACCATGCTTCAAAATTCAGACAAAGAATCTGACCCGAACATTTGTAAGTACATACTATACATACCCATACACTTACCTACAAACATTGCAAATTAAATACAAGCTTCCAAAAATATGTTGAGTATGGAGAACAAATATGAAGTCAATATCAAAGATCAGCAATTGAGTATAGTACTAACCTTATCACATTTATAAGGCTTTTCTCCTGTATGCATGCGGCGATGCTTCTTCATTGCCCCACCGGATGGAAATTTTTTAGGACAGAAATCACATGAGTATGGCTTCTCACCTGAAATTTTAGAAATACTGGTTTTTAGTATCTCAATAAACATAAACAAAACAAAAACAAAAGTTAACAATGAAAATGTATATTTTAACAGAAAAAGTTCTGTTAGTTATTCTTGGTACAAATTTCAAATTAATCAAATTAATGTAAGTTACAAAAAGGATTTGAAGCTCTATAACTTCTGTTTAATTATCTGCGAGTGCTTTCGACAGCTGGTCATGCTGTCATCCTCTAGGCTCCACTCTATCTGAACGTGTCATCCTGTTGTGTGTCCTTTTATACGGTCCGAACGCCCCAACACAGGTACTTCAGGTACTTTAGGTAAAGTTGCCGGTATTCGGATTACATCAGGTACTATTCACGTGGCACCCACTTCTCAAGCTTCATGACCTTTCCAATCCATTTTAAACCATCACAAACCACATAAGAGCCATCCCATGCACCGTTTGTGATGGGTCAGTCTCCACAAGGATACTCCAATTTTCGTATTGGATTGCCACTTTGGGGCTCATCTTCGAGACTAAAACGTCAGGAACAAAATTCCGCAAACTAACATCGAGCACTGCGATCATTACACTATATTGCAAAATACCGGTTAATTTTTCGAAAAGTTTCATCAGCGCCTTGTTTAAATTTGAATTCGTAAAGAAAAATTGGTTGAAAATCGCATAACAACACTATATAATATTTTAGTGCCTGCAGTTTCCTCACAGCCCCTTACGACTTGAGAAATGATCCCTCACAGCCCCCTACCGACTGAAAAGAGCCATAAAAGTTTAAATTTGGAAAAATGAACGGCATCAATGTATAGAGTACAAAATTCTCTATCAATCAGTATATACAACACAGCAGAATAAATATTTATTGAGATATCTCAAATTATTTCAACAATGGCAAACATACTTGTAATATTTTTTACGAACTTAACCTACCTGTATGGGTACGAATATGAACATTCAACAAAGCAAAACCTTGGAATTCTTTATCACAAAATTCACATTGATACTTCTTTTTCTTCTTAGCTTGACCTGCATGAGCTCTTAAATGTTCCGCTAAATTATCCTTACGAGTGAAGAACCTTTTACATACCTGGAAAAAACAACAAAACAAGGTAAAATACTCTACATAGCTTTTATTGCAATTTTTTATCGAATCAATATATTGGTTTTATAAATTTGACTATCTTAGCTAATTACGTTTATTTCTATTCAAACATGATATATCTTTCGGGATTCTGTTGTTTCAGAATCTGGAAAGTTCAATAATTAATTTGTCTAACTACAATAATAGAAATCCCGCTGTCAAATTACACATTTCTAAGTGAATCGTCATCCATGGAATAGGCAGATTTAGTATACTAAGCATTATAGACACTTTTTTTTCTGATTGATTAGGCCGTTACTTTATAAAACCACTTTTTTCTTTTTCTAGGTCTTCAAAATGTTAACAATTACTTTATTTTCTAGTAAACTTATGATGTTGAAGAAGGGTAAATGAATTCATCAACGAGAACTAATAAAATAAAATGACTTACAATATAAATATAACCTGGCAATGGCAATGAATGGTATTGTGGAAAAACAATTAATGGCTTTTGCATCACGATAATGAACCTGCTCATTGGTCATTGGGATGATTGAGGAGATTAAAACCGAATCGCTGGGAGAGCTCAAGAACATACCAAAAAGTGTATATCAGAACTGTTTCAAGGATTGAAAAAAAACGCTGGCACAAAAATGTTGTTGATAGGTACTAAAGGAGTTGTTAGATTTTTTATTAGTTGGTAGTTCCAGTGTGATACACTATACTTTTATTTCGGTTACAGTTATAATTTTGAAATTACCAAAATTGTTATTGTCAACATTCTTTTCCGCCATAAAACCCACGACCACAGCCCCAAATTTTGAATGCCTTTAGCAACTTATTACCGTTTTCTGAAATGCCCTTTTTCTGAAATCCTCTCCAAGAAGTTGAAGTTGATAAAACACTAGTCCACTCTCTTGGGCGGACCGCCATATCAGATTTAGAGTGACAATAAGACAATATATTATTTTTGGTATTTTTTTCAGCAAACTGTTTCTTTTGATATCCGTATCGTGTGTTTGCTTTGAAAAAACTAGTCCGCCATCTTACGCTGTCCGTCATTTTGTATGTAGAATGCTTCATTTGGCTAACCATGCTTCAAAATTCAGACAAATAATCTGACCTGAACATTTGTAAGTACATACTATACATACCCATACACTTACCTACAAACATTGCAAATTAAATACAAGCTTCCAAAAATATGTTGAGTATGGAGAACAAATATGAAGTCAATATCAAAGATCAGCAATTGAGTATAGTACTAACCTTATCACATTTATAAGGCTTTTCTNGACCACCGATAGACCGGTTTCGGAATATTAATATAAATCAAACCTCGCAACACACGCCATACAAAACAAACATAATTTTCCCCCACCAGAAAACATAAAACTCATAAAACAAGTCAATAAGAGAAACCTTATGGACATTTGGTAAAACTTAAACATCCATAAATTTAACAGTCATAAATCACTTATCGAGGAACAAGTACAAATCAAAACACAAAAAGACCTAACTTTCAATATATTAAACAAATCAAAACACACTCCTAGAAACAATAAACCTAGAGAAGATCCAACACAAAGAATAGTACCTGATGTGATCCAAATACAGGCAAGTTTATCTTGGAGGGTGAGGATAGGGAAGTTAGTGGTTTCCAGGTAGTTCGAAGTCTCAGACCCTCATCACGTTTGTTCAGGCCAGGAAGGTTGCTTTTCGATTACGATGGCCTCGCGAATTATCCGACCTTGTAGTGATTTCGCCGTGGCAATGGTCTTAGTGTTCACAAAGTCTATGTTGTGTCCCGTTTCTTGATGATGTTTGGGCAGAGCTAAGGATGAGTCTGACTTTCGGACAGCAAGTTGATGTTCGTATACTCTACTTGTCACACGTCTGTTGGTCTGGGCTACATATGGCCTACACACGCGCACGCGCATGCAGGCGCGAACACACATACCCACACACTCGCATGCACGCGCGCTCGCACACACACGAGGTTTTTGAAACAAAATTTTTGGAAGGTTTATGAATATATCAGTAACAAAGTTTTAGCTCTTTTTTTTTTAAAAGCTAAAGCATTTTGAGATAAGTGCTGCAGCTTTTGTAAAAGTTTTGTCCGTTTTTATAAGTCTACTTCAAACTGTGATATCTCGGTGAATACTCATGCAATTTAATTGGAATAAGTGCCATTTGAATCAGTACACCTTTGCCAACATAACATAAGTCGATTAATTTCGTCAGCATAAAAAATATATGCTAGGAATTCGAGGAAGTCGACGAATGCCGTGCCTGGTCCTGATTGGCGAAGGTTCTACCGGCGAGAAATCACTTATCGAAGTGCTTGAAAAGATGCCAACAAGGGAGTCTAGTGAGTATGGTAGGTGAGACAGAACTTCGACGCTCAGTTCGTTCAACTTTCGGACGGTGATTTGCGAAACGTACGGACGGGCGTTGTCATGAAGCAGGATCGGACCTCTTTTGTTGACCAGTGCCAGCTGCGGCTGGCGTATGTTTCGGTACAGTTCACAATAGGATTCTGCTGTTATGGTTTGGCCCGGTTGCAGAAAGTTATAATGAATCACACAAGCCGCTGACCATCATACAGTGACAATGGTTTTTTTTGGTGGTTTTTCGTCTTTGGGAAGTGTCTAGGTAGCTCATCAGTGTCGAACTACTGTCCTGATTATCTCTTGTAATGCTAGAGGAATAACTTTTCATCACACGTGATGATCCAATCCAAAAAAGGATAATTTTGGTTGCAAAGAACATACCTCGAAATGTGATCATTCAAATTACATGGCACCCACTTCTCAAGCTTCATGACCTTTCCAATCCATTTTAAACCATCAAAAACCACACAAGAGCCATCCCATGCACCGTTTGTGATGGGTCCACCAATTTTCGTCTTGGATTACCACTTTGGGGCTCATCTTCGAGACTAAAACGTCAGGAACAAAATTGGCCGTTACTTTATAAAACCACTTTTTTCTTTTTCTAGGTCTTCAAAATGTTAACAATTACTTTATTTTCTAGTAAACTTATGATGTTGAAGAAGGGTAAATGAATTCATCAACGAGAACTAATAAAATAAAATGACTTACAATATAAATATAACCTGGCAATGGCAATGAATGGTATTGTGGAAAAACAATTAATGGCTTTTGCATCACGATAATGAACCTGCTCATTGGTCATTGGGATGATTGAGGAGATTAAAACCGAATCGCTGGGAGAGCTCAAGAACATACCAAAAAGTGTATATCAGAACTGTTTCAAGGATTGAAAAAAAACGCTGGCACAAAAATGTTGTTGATAGGTACTAAAGGAGTTGTTAGATTTTTTATTAGTTGGTAGTTCCAGTGTGATACACTATACTTTTATTTCGGTTACAGTTATAATTTTGAAATTACCAAAATTGTTATTGTCAACATTCTTTTCCGCCCCGTATCTTCGAAACAAAACGCTTCAAAGGACAAAATATCTTATGAATAGTCCAAGGAATAGTCCCTTAATTTTCTACCGCACGTTTAATGAACACCCTGTATAGTTTTTCACTATTTTAAATATTGTAGAAGTAATCACATTGTTATCTTGCCTACTATAAATAAATAGAATGATTAATTCATTGTATATTACCCTACAATCATATGCTTTTCTTTGATACCCCATACATCCTGTCTGTCCTATGTGCCTGTCAAGATGGTATTTTCTTGTGAATTCCCTATTGCAATCTAGGCACTTTACTGTTTTGATAGGGTGCACTTTCATATGGTCGATCAATCCCTCTTTTGTTTTGAAAACTTTTTTACATTCAGCACAAGTAAATTCATCGCCTTCAGGATGTTCAATGCTCAAGTGACGTTGAAGACAACTCATTTGAACAAAAAGTTTTCCGCACTGCTCGCAGTTGATGTCACCAATCTGAAAAAAAACATGTTCAATAATTTTTTTGTCTCGAATGAAAATTACCTGACTAAGTAGCTCATTACTTCCGAATTTCCTACTGAATTTTAACTTATATTCAAACCAGAACCTGAAGTCAGTAATTATGAAATCAGTAATTATAAAAAATATGCGAGAGAAAGGCAGATGTAGCACTAATGTTTGAGAGAGCATTTACTCCATTGTTACCGTTATTTGAAAATAAAAGAGGTGATCCAATATACATTTTTAAATAATATGAAATAATAATCTAGGGAAAATGTCACAGATATGGTAAACTGAAATGAGTATTTTCATTAGTTCAACAGAATGTGTCACGATATTATCTTTTAGGAGATACTTGAAGGTAATTCTGGTCAAAAAGGCTTACTATACATTAGATGATTTTTTTGAGGATAACCTCAAATTTGATTAAAATTGGTAAAGTAGTTTAGGAGTCCATCGCGGAAACTCAATTCTAAAGAATAAAAAACAAATGTTATCAAAAGTGTGAACAAAGCTATAACTATCTTAGATTAATAATTCGGTTATTGTTAATGAAAAAAACTGAAATTCAGTTCAGAGTCTTAATAAAATGTTCAAATAGTTTTGTATATTCTTTGTGGATTTATATTAATGCTTCAAAAAATGAAAAAACTAGTTGAGACAAAATTCGTCTCTCTTTAGACGAGAGAAGGCAATCTTCACTTATTTTGTCTCTACTTCTTTCACAGAGAAAATATTGGTGTTCAGAATAGCAGTGGATACATTTCTTAAGCAGTGATGGCAGTTGTAAATTAATAACTGAATACCTTCAAGACACTACTCAGTGAAAACTTGCTGCTGAAACTGTCAATTATTCATTCAAAACAGGGAGATAAACGAGTTCTGTTGTTTATGAACATACTTGATGCCATATGCGGGGTGCTATTTATATTTTGGGAACACCAAATGATATTTTATAATGAAAAAGGCTTTACTGTTGTTTCGAAATATTCTCCTTGATGATCAATACACATTTGCATTCGTTCAAACTATTTGTCAAAGCAGTTCTTCGGCGCTTGTAAATCGTTGACCACGCAGTTTATCTTTGATTAACAAAAAGAAGTCATTTGGTGCCAAATCAGGACTATACGGAGGATGAGTCACCAATTCGATGTTTTGATTGCTCAAAATTTCACCTGTTTGACGAGATGCGTGAGAGCTCGCATTGTCATGATGGAGAGTGATTCGTCTTCAGCGGTTAGTTTTACCAATTTCTCCAAAAACTTCCGGAAAACAAATGGTCGTGTACCATTCAGAATTGACCATTCTACGTTGCTCAAGTAGAAGAGTGGCCACATGACCCATTCGCCCGAAGAAACAGGTGACCATCTGCTTCGCTGTGCTTCTTCAACGAACAACATTTGTTGAATTTAGCTCGCCTTGGAATACCCACACGGTAGATTGCTGTTTTGTTTTCAGCTCATAATCATATATCCATGATTCGTCATCCTGTCACGATTTTATACTTTTTTTTTGAAGCACCACAATCGCGAGTCTTTTTTTCAGCGACTGATAAATTATGAGGTATCCAACAAGAACAAGTTTTTTTACAACTAACTGTTCATGCAAAATCGAATGTATCAAAGTGCAACTAATGTGCAAGAGTGCCTTTATCTCACAATATGTCACATGACGATCTTCCATTATCAGTGCATGCACTGCATCGATGTTTTGTGGCACAACAAACAATTTTGGACGAACTTCACGGAATTTGTCGGCGACCGAAATACGACCACGATTGAATTCAGTATACCAGCGATATACTGCGGCTTTTGATGGTACTTTATCGCCATACAAAGAACTGAGTTCATCGACTCATTCTGGTTGAGATAATCCACGTCAAAAGTTGTGAAAAATAATCCAACGAAAATATTCTCTTGAAATTTCCATTTATTGGTCAAATTGATTTTTTCAACTCACCGCAAACAAAATAAATAGCACTTGTACATCAAAACGTGAGTACGTTTATACTAAAAAATGTCAAACTTTATGATGGTGTTGCCGAATACCTATTGACATTTGTGTAGCCAGTTCCCGAAATATAGATAGTCCCCCATCATATCATCTAAATTTATTCACATAGCCAGTACTACCGTTGCAATAACTAAAGAAGAAATCAGGTAATTTCATAAGTTATACTATCGAAGATTTTAATCATGGGCAAATAGGTAGTATACGAGAATAACATACTGTTAAACGGGTTTTTCACAAAATAAATAGTGTGATACCAAAGAAAAAATTATATAACTAGGGAACTAACTAGTCTTCAATACAGACCTATTTCTGATTTATTGAATCTCAACTGAGATATTCTTGATGGTGGACTATTGTGTTCATAGTTTGTCACGTGCTTGTCCACCATGAAGACAAGTTTATCATCTCTTGTTTCACGTTGCTTCATCTTCAAACTGAGTAATTCGAGACAATAAAACCACCCTCATATTTTATATATATATATATAAAAAAAAATCAATTTGAATATGCCTATTTTCCAAAAGGGTTAAACAAAGAATAGAACGTCACTATTATGGTAGAGACCTACTTGCATTCTTTATTTATAAGATACACATTCCTAATTTATAAGACACACATAAATGATTATTGGGTACAAATTGGCAGGAAATTTTCTTATGAACATTCTGTAGTCATACTTTGCTATTTTTAAACTTTTGAAAGCATCCAAAATTCTAGAGTCGTGAGACATTGTTCATTTATTCTATGGCTGAATCGGATATGTGATTGTGTTCTTTGAAAATAGTTTTGATATCTCGTTTAGTCTGACAGATAAATTTTTATTGCAGTTTTCACAACTTATAATATATATCCCGACTTTTCATTTTCCAAATAGTTGAAAATGAAAATGCAATTTAATCCCTTAGTATATCTTGGTTTAGATGAAAGAACAATGCACTTTGAATTAGTGTATTTAAAAAATATATATCATTTATGTTTGTGTGTATATACTTGTATGTATTTATCATTCATTTTCATATTTCATTTTCAAATTTCATTTTTTGTTGACTAAATTCAGAGTTTTGCAATATCAAGTTTATATTGAATTTTATTAAAATATTTTATTTATAACGAATATTTTTTAGTAAATCAGTTTCATTTCATTTTAATAATAACTGATTGTCATATGTTATAAATATGTCATAATATTCAAACTGAAAGTGTTTTTAATCAAAACAGTTGATTAAACAACAAAAATCTAGCATCGAGTCTCAGCTAAAATTTCGTTTGCACACCAATTTCTTCGAACACCTCAATTATCAGTATCCGAAACGAGTAAATATAAAAAGGCAACAAATCAAATATTTCCGTATTCAAGGAATTAAAATAATAGTTGATTTTTTTTTTGTTCTCTCGTCGCTAAAGGATTATTTCGATTTGTTTTGTCTTGTCCAAGATTACCCAATCTCTTGTCTTGCCGACACGATTTTTCAAGACAAATCTTGAAAAAACGTCTTGTTCAAGACAAGAAACGAAAATCTCTTGGTAAAAACACTACAAAATTGTGACTGAAACTCTATTTCATTTGATCTCCTTCAAATAAAACACTTACTGTATGTGCTGAATCTGATGGTTCGCCGCAGCAAGGACATAACTGTAAAGTAAGAGGATCGCTTCCATCCATATCACTTTTGGCACAATGATTGACTGTGATGTGCCTTTTGAGACCCTGATAATAAAATAATAATATTTTGTAACATAATTTTGTTGATTAATTTCTATCTTACTGCTGAAGTCCTAAAAACTTTCTGACAAATATCGCATTCCACATGTTCCTCTTTGATTTGATCCATTTCGATTTTACTTTCCTGTTCTTCTATTTGGGATTCAACTACCTCCGCTGTTTCCTGCTTGTCTGCCTCTGCAAGTTGATAATTGTTCTTTTTAATGACATTTATGCACATTCAATAACCTATTACAAAATGAGCCTTGGACTGAAGTGAAACTCGCTAAAACAGTAAATAAAAAAAAACTGAATCTTTATGAACCTTTTTAACATTGTGTTCCCAATAGTTTTGAAGGATAAAGACTTAAAGCAGACTAGGAAAACCTATCACTTGGACTCTGAAAAAATCAACAAAAATAAAGAAAGAATAAACTTTTTATATGATATATTTAAATTAAATCCTAGTGAATATAATAAATCCCTATATCTCGAGCAAAAAAATAAATTTAAACATATTCTTAAAGAAGGTAAAGAAAACAATATTAGGAACCAAATAAATCATTCTGAAAACAAGGCTAAAACAGTTTGGAAAATAGTTAATTGTGAAATTGGTAGAGATAAAAAATAACAAACAAATGATATTGACATAAATCTATTTAACCATTGTTTTCTTAATTATTCCTACGATATAGTTAGCAACATCGACACTGGTTTATGCACATCATCAAAAAATCACATATATGGCAATAAAGGATCACATTGCATATTCCTTCAGCCTGTAGATGAATATGAAACAAGTACTATTAAATATTCAACGAAAGTCATTTTTTGTGGAGGAAAAAATCAGTTTTTTATCGACCTTTTTTTGGGTAATTGTTACCTTCCACAATCTGAAAAAATATAAAAATTATAATGGAGAACTTTATACAAGTGTAGAAGGGCAAACTTTTTAGTTTACCCCGATAAGTTACTGCGTAAAAATCAAAGTATTTTTCACAAAGAAAAATCTTCTATTTATCAGTAACTTGTCGTATTT